ATATGAGTTTATTTTCTTTAGGTTTCCCCAGTTGAACGCTTTTTGGAGAAACCTAATACTGGCCGGAGTAGAACCTCTAGCCGTGGTAGTAGCCCTGGAAGATCTCCTGTGTGTTGTAACTCTCTAGTAGATGAACACATACAAGGTTTCGTCGTAAATTTAAAACCAGAAAAGAAGTCAAAGTTGTCATCTGTGGTTCCCGTGTTAGGATTTTGTACATTAGATCTCTGCTTGCTAGGTCACCAGAGCTCCAATCTATCAAAGTAATGGAACACTTAGAGCATCTTCAACCACACTTGCTAAACATGACTTGCTAAAGTCATTTTTTAGCATATGAATAGTGGTATAGCAAGCCATTTTGCATTGTCATCACCAACCTTCCCTTGCTATAATTTAGCTATCATATATTGATTTCACCATTGTAGTACACTATTTACAATTATTTTTAACTTTTATTATTTTATTTATAAAAATTAAGGTATGCAATTTAAAAATAATAATTTGAAATAAAATGCAAAAAATAATATTTTATTTTTCTTCTTGCGTTGTGGATCTCTAAACTATCTGCGCTTCTTTAATTAATGAAGTAGCAGTTAGTCAAACAATGCAACTTTCGACGTTGAGCCGGGGGTCTCTTTGGAAACAGCCTCTCTACTTTCGAGTAGGGGCAAGGTCTGCGTACACACACCCTCCCCAGACCCTACTCTTGTGGGATTTAACTGGGTTGTTGTTGTTGTTCTTGCGTTGTGGCACTGAACGTGAGGGAACAAATGCGTTGTGGCACATGAAAAAACTAACCCAATCAACAGTTTTCTTCTTTTTGGCTTACTATATTTTACCAAGCTTGTTATTAGTAGCTAGTCTTTTCATTTATTAGCAAGCTTGTCCAAAACTGGCAAGCCCCTTGGAGCATGAAGTTGTGCTTGGCTTGTCAAATTGTAACAGATAGCAAGCCATTTTAGCATGGTTTGAGATGTTCTTATCCACTCTTCTTTGCCTTGCGCAATGCATAAATGCATTTTCTCTAATGATGATTTCATATGAGTTTATTTTCTTTAGGTTTCCCCAGTTGAACGCTTTTTGGAGAAACCTAATACTGGCCGGAGTAGAACCTCTAGCCATGGTAGTAGCCCTGGAAGATCTCCTGTGTGTTGTAACTCTCTAGTAGATGAACACATACAAGGTTTCGTCGTAAATTTAAAACCAGAAAAGAAGTCAAAGTTGTCATCTGTGGTTCTCAAGATACGTGGTATTGATGAGGTAACTCATGTTCAATTAGATGCTGTTAATTGTTCACTTTCTTTGGTGTACTTGTAGATTTTATGATTATTCAAGTAGCTTCTCCTTAATGTATTGAATAGCTTAGTTCTTATGGCAGAAATTCCACTTCCATTGTGGTAAGATGAAATTCAAGCTTTTACAAGATACTCTGTATACATGTTTGGCATGTTATGCTGATTTGTATTACAGTTTCTTGGACTTTCTTCATATGTGCTTCAACTCTTCAGGCGCAGTAATTTGAGTTTGTATGTCAATTGTCACATAACAAAAACATGTAAAGGTCACTTGGAGGCAGCATGTTACTGGAGGAAAGCTCTTGGAGATAACTGAGGAAGCCAAAAGTTTTGTAGTTGGAAACAAGGCTCTTGCTGCTCTTTTTGTTCATACTCCAGCAGGAAAGCTGCAGCGCCAAATCAGAAATTGGCTTGTGGAGAACTTGGTTTTTCTTTCTGTTAGTGATGACACAGTTGGAGGAGCTACTGGCCAGCTGGAACTTCTTTCTACTGCAATAATGGACGGCTGGATGGCTGGACTTGGTGCTGCAATGCCGCCCAATACGGATGCCCTGGGTCAGCTTTTGTCTGAATATGTAAAGAGAGTTTTTAGTACCCAGCGTCAGCACTTGAAGGTATTTTAAGATATTTCATTTTGCTTGTGGTAAATAAGACATGACTTCCAAACTTGAACACCGATATTCTTTTCTTGATGCATGTGTTTTTCTTCCTTCGAAGGTGTGTATTTAGTTCCTTAGAGGCATAGTTACCCATTTTCTTTAATTAGTTGCTACCATTATGAATTTGTGCCCCTGCATAAATAATCCCAGTTGCCATTGCCCTACTTGAATATTAATCCCTCCGCCCTGAAAAGGAGTCTTATTTGAAATTTTATTCTTGTCAGCAGATGGCATAATTGCACGACCACGTTCTGGTCTTCTAGATCCTAGCAATTCCTCTTTTATGCAGAACGATGCATCAACTTATGGAGTCGATCAGCCAGATTTAATTAAAGTTAAGCATGGAGATCATGTTCTGTCTGCCCGTGTGCAAGAACCTTCACGCACACCATCTTCACAGTCACCAGACTCCAGACTCTTATCTTTGGATAGTGATAGGTTTGCAACAGCAGAAGCTTCAGGTTCTTTGAAACTGCCTGATGTAGCATCCAAGGATCCTGCATCAAGAGATCGAGAAAATGGAGACCGGTTTAAAAGTGATGTCTCTCAGGCTGAGATTGAACTTAGGCAGCAAAGAGGTGCCACTGCAAACAGAATATCCACGGATAGGCCTCCAAAGTTTTCTGAAGGAACACCAAATGGAGTTTTCACCCACAACAGCTGCTCAGCAAGATAATGTTCGACCCCTTCTTAGTTTGTTGGAGAAGGAACCCCCATCTCGCCATTATTCTGGTGTATGTTCGCCATCTCACTGGGTTGGAGAAACATGACAGCATCCTTCCTCTACTTCATGCTTCTACTAATGATAAGAAAACAAATGGCTTGGATTTCTTGATGGCTGAGTTTGCAGGTAATGGCACTGCCTAGTTATTGTTTATTGTATCAAGCTATGGATCTTTCCTATCTCATTCATGCTAGCTTTGCATTTCAGTAAATGGATAAAGCTCCTTACCTAAAGGCATCATGTTTTACATAAATTCTTATTATTCTACCTTTTCTTAAAAACATTCTTTATAAACTGTTACATTTTATCTTAAAAATTACTCTGCAGAGGTTTCTTTACGTGCAAGAGAAAATGCTAACACAGAGTCATTACCTAAAAGTACACAAAAAGCTGCAAGNCTAGACCAGGGAGTGCAACATCTTCTGGATTACTTTCACATATGGTGTCACCATGGAATGCTGACATCGCTAGAGAATATTTGGAGAAGGTAGCAGAGCTTTTACTTGAATTTGCTGCTGCAGATGCAACAGTAAAATCCTACATGTGTAGTCAAAGTTTGCTTAGCCGTCTTTTTCAGATGTTCAATAAAATAGAGCCTCCTATTCTTTTGAAGGTATGGAAAACTATGAGATCAGAAGTTCAATTTTCTTTTATAACTGTATTTTGTCTGATGGGTTGTGTTCATGCGCATGCCCTATATAGTTGTTGAAGTGTATCAATCACCTTTCAACAGACCCACACTGCTTAGAACATCTTCAGAGAGCAGATGCAATCAAATATCTGATTCCCAATCTTGACCTCAAAGAGGGACCCCTTGTTTCCCAAATCCATCATGAGGTGAGCCTAATAATCTTTAATATTCGTTTGAGGGCTGTTGTATTTTTTCATGCATACATTATTGGTAGACAAGAATCTGATAAGCTTCACCTGGAAAGAATATGTTTAGTTTAGACTTTAGAGGTGAAATGCTTACCCTTTGACGACAAGGGTCATGAATAGAGGTATTAGAAACAGTTCATTTAGAGTTAAACTGTTACAGTTACATGGTTATTCCTTACCTTTATCTGAATGTTGAGTTAGTAATCTGACAGTTGGTAATTCCTTAATAGTTTGGAAGGAATTTATGAGCCATTTTCCTTTGGTGGCTCTCACACTGCTAATTCATGCACATCAACTTCTTTTTTAAAAATAAAATTCAATAGTTAACAACGAGGATCTTTACGGATACTCATATTTGTTTTGACCGGGTGGGTGTCAACTTGTATCTAATTGGTCCAGATCACCAAGCAGTTTACTTGTAAGGTTGTGTAAGGAGGTTGAGTCTTTATACACACTGAAGCTGTAGGTCTGCTATTTATTTTGTATTCATTAACAAATTGTGAAAGTATACCAATGCATGTGGATGAATTATTACGAAATTGATTTTTATGGAGGTTCTCAATGCATTGTTCAACCTCTGCAAGATCAATAAGAGGAGACAAGAACAGGCCGCAGAGAATGGAATTATCCCACATTTGATGCATATTTGGAATTACCCCACATTTGATGCATATTATAATGTCTGGATCTCCACTGAAACAATATGCATTGGCTCTTTTATGTGATATGGCTCATGCATCACTCAATTCTAGAGAACAGCTAAGAGCACATGGTGGATTGGACGTGTACCTGAGCCTTCTGGAAGATGAGCTCTGCTCTGTTACCGCATTAGATTCCATTGCTGTTTGTTTAGCACACGACAATGACAGCAGGAAACTGGAACAAGCATTGCTTAAAAAGGATGCTATACAGAAACTGGTTAAGTTCTTTCAGTGCTGTCCAGAACAGTATTTTCTGCACATATTGGAGCCTTTTTTAAAGATTATCACGTATGTCATTTCCCAGTTTTACCTACATGCACATTATCATCTTTCAGTGGATCAGCTTTCGTGCTATTGGTGAAGACATTGCCTAATATTTGAGTTAATTTTAAATGCAGCAAATCATCACGAATAAACACCACACTGGCTGTCAATTGTTTGACCCCATTGTTAATATCTAGACTTGATCATCAGGATGCTATAGCTCGTCTCAATCTTCTAAAATTAATAAAGTTAAGAATTTCTTTTTTTGTTTAATGTTTAATTTATTAATGGGATGGTAATAGTAATGATAATAATAATAATCAATGGATATTGGGGTTCATTGAAGTTTCTTCTTGTGAGGATGAAAAACACATTTTGTTATGATAGTAGAGGTTTAACATCACAATCTCAGGGTATATCTAACACATACATTCACACTCCCTCTGTCCCATAAAAATTGTACAGGTCAAATTATTTCTTATTTTCTATTTCATTACCTATTTTCGTTAATCATATGTTAAGATAGCAGTCATGTCACCTCCTGTTTTATTGAGTTTTTGATGTATTTTTAAAATATATAAAATTTTATTTTAAAATTTTACACCAAATTTGAAAATAATTTCAGTCAACCTTTGCTCTCTACAATGGGACAATTTTTTTAGGATGGGGGAGTTCAGGTTTTTTTCTTATGGGTTTTGTCATTTAGGACGGGGGAGTTAATGTTTTTTCTTATTTTACAGCTGAAATAGCAATCAAGATCCTTAACTTTGACATAGTACTCAATTACTCAAAAGACCTACACTTTAAAGCTGCTCATTTAAGGACTTCAACTTCAGTGTTACCCAATACCCATATACGGGATTTCTAACAGTGTTTCTTACTGTTTAACAGCATGACTCAAAACCAGTAGGTATATGACACATGGATGTAGTTATTAAGATTGTGCCAAAACTATGAAATCTCTTAAAGAACTTAGGACTGTCTATCAGAATGCTGACTCATATCTCTATTAATGTCACGGCAGCATGGTAGTCAAACTCTAGATTCTACGTATATATATATATAAAATTGGGGAATTGGAGAAGAAAGGAGAAATTTACCGAGAAAAGGGGGAGGGGAAATGACGTCGTTTTGCCGCTAATTACGAAAAAATTGACTCCAAAAAAAGAAAAAAATTGACTCCACAAAAACCACTGGGTTAGGAGTAGAACCTACGTCCAAGGGGAGTAAGGATGGGCAACTCAGTGAACTCTTCTGTTGAACTAAAGGCGCTTTCAGTCAATACCTGACAAGCTTGTTTAATATATTAATATCTATATATATCTAATACCTATATGGACCTACCCAGGGGTCCGTGGGGTCCCAGGACCCCATGGGACTCAAGGTGGACCCGCCTCTGGCACGGGAGGATAACTTGTTCAAAACAAAATTTTGAGTGAGATAACACTTTTTAAACTATTAGGTCTTCTATGTATATATAAACATTAATAAATTTTATAAAAAATATGATATTTCAAAATTATACTTAAAGACAAATCAAATAGTATTGAATTTATATTATTATTCAACATATTGTTTTTAAAGTCCATATGGAAGCAATTTACTGGAAGGGCATGCCCCTTCATTAGCAAAGGCACCCAAGAAACTCCCTTATATTTTTTGTACACTCAAGTGATACATTTACAAGTTACATGCTCCTAATATTTATTTGGGGGAAACGCTCAAGTAGGACCAAAACATAAAAAATATATCAAAATAGGACTTTCATGTTTTTATTAATGAAATAGGATTTAAAATGCTTTTACATTACCAAACATGAGCATGTACATTACCAAAAAGTATAGTAATGAACACATGTACAGTGTCACATTACCACAGTGCGAAGTCCAATTTCGGAGAAAAACATGAAAGTCCTATTTTGGTACTTTTCTCTATGTTTTAGTCTTATTTAGGGTGATTTCTATATTTATTTTACACATTTATTTTTTTGCATATTACTCCCTCCGTCCCCTAGTTTTTGTCCACTTTTAACTTTTGGAACTGCACATCTAAGCACTTTGACTCATCAAATTCTCTCAATGTGTAAGCCTAAATATAATCATGTGTGATCTTGTTTGATTTGTCTTAACATATAGATTATTAATATAGAATTTTTATAATTTCTTAATATACAAATTATAAGATAGAATGGATTAAAGAAGTACATTTGGTGGTGTGTAAAAATGAAAGTGGACAAAAACTCAGGGACGGAGAAAGTATTTACTTTAAATACACATTTGTAAGTCCTAATACTTTTAATAAATCCTTAAAAGGGAATAAACATGAAGATTTTAAATGATAAAAGAGTAAGGCTCCGTTTGGTATACGAAATTCAAACAATATATTTGAAATTGAGAACAATAATTCCAATTTTTCTGTTTGGCATCACAAAAATATGTGGATTTAGAATTAATAGTGCCAAAAAAGTATTGAAATTGCGGAACTTGATTTCATCCAAAATAATTGCATAAAATTTCAACTTCTAATTTAATTCTAATTCTATGAATTTCGTGTATCAAACGGTTCTAAAGTTTATTACTCCAACACTTAACAATAAAGATGATCACAAGAGTTAGTCGCCAACTCATCTCCTTCGCATATTGTTTGTGAATACCAAAGCTCCAAAGTGTCCCATTTTGTAATCGCACAATTCCACGGTGCTGTTGCACATTTTCACACCATTCTTTAAAGTTTAAACACTCATGCTTTCGACATATCATTTAAAGACATGATTTGTTTGTTTGATTAGAGTGTTTTTTCTGTGGCACACACATAAATTTATTTGTGCAAAATGTAATTATAATGAGCTTGACATACATAAGGACGTTCGGTTAGAACACATGATGAACACAATTTAGTTGTTTTTACTTTTTACTGACAGGTGATTTAATACATACGAAACAGTAATCATCTCTGTTCACACACGATAATTGTATGTGTATGCATATTGCATAAATCATCTCTGCCTATCATCTGTGGAAAAATAGTGTCTAGCATTTTTTTTAATATGAGAAATTTTTAACTAAGAATAAAATAATTTATGCATATACTAGTACTAAATTTAGAACTTTCAATATTTTTATAGTATGAAAATAGGATTTTTAATGTCAAAAAAGTTAATACTCCCTTCGTCAATTTATAATAATAATAATAATAATAATCACATTAAAAATATATCATTTTTTGAGTAATTGGTTGAAGAGTAGAAAGAGTTGGAAGAAAATGAGAATAGTTGGAAGAAACTGGAAGGAACTGGAAGAACTGAAAGAAAGGGAAGAAACTGGAAGTTAAGAATTCAATCCTTAAAGGACAGACGGATGAAAAAAATGATAAGCCATAAGGTACGTGGAAAACTGAAAGAAGAAACATGTAGGTGAACTCAATACACAAAAATAGGAACACAACTAAGACTCTACTGAACAACTACTCAACTACTCTAGTTCTATATCTCCAAATCCAAGATTCCTATCATGAAGGGCCAACTGGCCAAGTGTCTAGGTCATCAAAACAAAGGTTTCAACATAAATTTTTTGAAATCATCTTTCAACCAATCTAAATAACCTCTCTCTCGGGTAAAATCACGCCGAAGTCCAAGACTCCTGAGACTCACCTCTGAGAAGGAGACGACCCGCACGAAAACCTCTGGAGAGAAGTTGCCCGACTGTGGCTGTGCGTGAGTTCCAAGTCTTTCTTCTTCTCCGTTTCCTAGTCTTGAGTTCCTTCATCCCTCAGGGCGACCAGAAGAATGTCGGATCATACGGGAAGCAGCGGCGGCCGGAACAGATGGAGTTGGGAAATATCGGGATTCGAACCTCGGTTGTCGCCATCAGAGCTCGACGATCACAGTAATTTGAGGCCGTCGTCACTGCTGGTCCGGAGGTACTCGATCTCACCTTCATCCATTGCTTCTCATTCGGAACTGTCTAAGCACGCGCAGAACTCCGTACTCCTCAAATTGAAGGACAAAATCAAGGTCACCATTTCTCTACCCTCTCGCATTCATTGGGTTTGTGGAGTTTCGTGACATGAATGTTAAAACCTTAATTGTTTAAGTAATTTCACTCAGTCAATTTAGGTTCACAGAGAAGTAGTAGTAGCCTTGTGGGTGTATTACTGATGAATCTTGATATCTTTTTTAGAAAGGATAATTTATACTCTTCCATTTCTTTATTTCTATTAAACTTGGGGTTTAGCCGCTGGCAATGTGGCCCATGATTTTTAAACATTTCAAGTTGCTAAATTTCTTATTCAATTTTCTTTTAAGACTATGTTACTCTGCATCACTGTGCTGGAAACATTAATATTTCCCAGAGAGAGGGAGGGGAGCAACCCGTGCATTTACTATTTCTTTCAGCATGTCTTCATACATCCTAAACCTTAATTTGTTAATTGTTATCAGATCAAGCTGTTCTTGAATCAGAAGCTAGAATTTGTCCTTTGATATCTGAGAAGAAAAAAAAATTTAATGACCTGTTGACTACCAAAGGTATACATAGTTTTGTCATCATCCCCTTTGTTTTATACAAGTATGCTTGAATATTGCTCCTAATAAGCTCTCTCAAAAGAAAGTGTCCTTCGTTTTCATGACAAATGTATTCTCATTTAGACATTTATTACATATACATACAGTGATGTAATTGTATTTATGATATGCATTTGATGGGATTTCTTTCACTCAGGAAATATGCAAGTATTTTGCCGTGTAAGACCAGTTTTTGAAGATGAAGGTTCATCTATTGTTGAATTTCCTGACTGTTTTACTGTTCGTGTCAATACTGGTGATTATAGTGCATTCAATCCTAAGAAGGATTTTGAATTTGATAGAGTTTTTGGTCCTCATATTGGACAAGGTAGTATGGACTTTAAAAAGGATCTTTTGTTCATCTCCTGTGTGATCTAAGATTTTCCTTACTCATTATATCTTTGTGCAGTTGACCTTTTTACTGATATTCAGCCTTTTGTTCAGTCAGCCTTTGATGGATATAATGTCTGTATATTTGCTTATGGTCAAACATACTCCGGAAAGACACACACCATGGTCTCTCTCTCTCTCTCCCTATCTCTCCCTCTCCCTCTCATTATTCTCTGTTTTATACTTTTATGCAGATACTATTAGAAAATTACTGCTTGTGTATAGCTCAGTACACTATCTGATTTTAATTTTTACACTGTAATTGTCAATTATACATGGTTTAAATTGTTTTAACTGTATTTGCCAATCAGTGCACTGCTACATGTTTATTTCTGCTATTCTGGATTGAGTCATGCAATGCTAAACTGCATAGATCTTTACCGAATATTCCGTTAGCCAGGGTATTTTCTGTATGTGACTAACAGTTTGATTTTCATCATAGTTCTGATGAGTGATGATCCTAAACCTTCCTGCAGGAAGGGTCTAGTCATGATCGTGGTTTATATGCTCGATGCTTTGAGGAGCTGTTTGATTTATCCAATTCAGATGCAACTTCCACATCTAAATTTAGATTCTCAGTTTCAGTCTATGAGCTTTATAATGAACAGGTCCCAGCTTCCAAGATTTTGTACTATCTTGCCATTTCACTGTTTCTTTTTCTCCTTTGGTACTTTTGATTTTTCTTGAGAGCTGGGGCCTAACATTCTTTGATTATTC